GGCGGGCAGGGGCTTGCGCTGGGGTCCGTGTCCCTCCCGCGGGGCTGCTGGAATGCCCGCAGGCAGCGGGCGTGGGTGAAGCGCTCTCTTGGAGAGTGATTAAGGTAAAACAAAGACCGGTGGCTCCCAACTCTTAAATTATTATTTTTTTTTTCTCTTAGGGTCTTAAAAATCAGGTGTGGTCATTTTGTAACTTTAATGCCACCTCTTCAGAAAAATCAAACCAGAGCACATGCTTGAAAACCCTCCAGTAATGATGACCTGTACGGTTCTTTTCTAGACATAACTACAAGATAGATTTTTAACCATGAACAGTATTGCCAAAAGCCTTTTGAAATCGGTTAAACACGGCCGAGCTGCGTGGCTGAGAAGCAGCTCTGCTCCCTCTGGAAAAGAGCATCTTCGGAAACTAGTTCTGGGAATAGAGACGAGCTGTGATGACACCGGCGCTGCTGTGGTGGATGATGGCGGCAATATTCTGGGAGAAGCACTGCACTGTCAGAAGGAAGTCCATATACAGTGAGAATATACTTTTGTCGGGGCTTTTGCCTTAAAAATGGTTTTATTGTTACTCTTTCTTGTAATATCATCTGTGTAAAAGTTGTCTCTCCTCCAGAAAACTGAGTAAGAAGTGGGTAGGTGTAAAGACCTATCTCCTGGGCCACACCACATTCTGCTTGAGGTATTACTGAGGGGTGAGGAAAGAAATGCTGTCTGTTTTAACTAGTTTCCTCTGGTATTTTCTTTCAAAAAGAGACAGATTACTTATCTAGCTTGAATTAAAGATGAAATCATTATTACTGTTAAAGCCACCAAATGTCTCAATTTTTTTAAGGGAAAATTCATCAAATGCAGGCATTGGTGGCTAAGTACGTGAACTGACAAGTGAGGGGCTGTGAATATTAAGTTACAGATATTGTTTTGGAACAGCATTGAGATACATTTAAGAGGTATGTGTACCAAAAAAGGGCAGGTTACATCCTTTTCTGACCTCCCAGTGGTAATTACACTCTCTTCAGTGCATTTACGCTAAACAAGGTATTTGAGAATGTAGTAAGGAAACAAGCAGAATACGGCAAGGTTAAGAGGTGTTTAAAATCTGTTTTTATGCCATTCTATTTGTGACGAAATACAAACGTATTGTAATTCTTTGTTTTTACTAGAGCGGGTGGAATAATTCCTGTGGTGGCACAGCAGCTTCACAGAGAAAACATCGAGCGGGTGGTGAAGGAAGCACTGGGTGTAGGCGGAGTTTCTGTAGATGAACTCGCAGCTATTGCAACTACAGTAAAACCAGGACTTGCGCTGAGCCTTGAGGTGGGGCTGCAGTACAGCCTGGACTTGGTGGACAGGTACCAGAAGCCATTCATACCCATTCATCACATGGAGGCTCACGCACTGACCGTCAGGCTGACACATCACGTGGAGTTTCCCTTCTTAGTCCTCTTACTCTCTGGAGGCCACTGCATCTTGGCAGTAGCACAGGGAGTTTCAGATTTCCTTCTGCTTGGACAGTCCATAGATATAGCACCAGGTGACATGCTGGATAAGGTAATAATTCCTTAAGTAAGTGAATCTAGGGGTTTTTCTTCTTTTTATTGCAGTTATACTACACAATGGTAGTAGTATCATCAGCCTGAGGACAGTCATACAGTGCAATATGAGCTTTACTGAACTTTTTTTTTTTTTCTATTTTGAATTACCAAATTTAAGACACAAGAGGCTGTTAAAAATCTATGCATAGCAGCAGTTGTAACATATGTAAATTAATTACATTTTTAGCAAATAAACAACATAATCAGAAACTTGTGTTGGAAGTTTTGTTGACACCCATTATGCAAATGAATTTGAGATGATCGATAGTGATATTTTAAAGGATGCTGTCAGATTTAAAACAATACATATCAAAACATTTCTTACCTTTTTTTTTTGTACAGTTTGAAAAGCCTGGTTTGGCTTTCAGAATCTTAAGTTTTCTGGGTCACTGAGTACAACCTGTAAAATTGATCGCTTACAGTTTTGTTCTCAAACACAAGCAGAGTTTTTAAACAGTGTTTGTGTGTATTAATTGAAAAAGTGGAGGAGTGAGTGGAGTGAGAAAGGGGATTGTTGAATGTTGAAACCACCTTTGTTCTTGTTTATCTGGTAATGCAGTATGGCAGTCCGTGTGTGTTTCCTGTAGCATAAAACTAGGGTAATGTTTCCTGCGAGATGTTGCCCACACTATTCTGGAGTAGCATGTCTAATTACTCGAGGGAAAAAAAAAAAATCCAGCCGGCATATGTCTTGTCCTTATTTGTGCCCTGTTCGTAATTTCACGTTGGATTAGATTTTGCAGTGTCTTTAATTTTGCTCCACGGACTACTGTAGTGATGCAGTTACAGGAGGAATTAATTTAGCACTCTGTTCAAAGTCTGTTGTTTATTATCTCCTTAGGTAGCAAGAAGACTCTCTTTAAGAAAGCACCCAGAGTGCCACAGCATGGCTGGGGGAAAGGCGATAGAGCACTTGGCTCAAACTGGAAACCGGCAACAGCACAGCTTCAGACCTCCCATGCAACAATATCGTAACTGTGATTTTTCTTTTTCTGGACTTCAGAACCTTGTCAATAAAGCCATTATGCAGAAAGAAAAAGAAGAAGGTATTTTCAAACCAAGTCAGGTGTAAACCATGTTTTTGATGACCTATACTCAGGAAACCCCATTTGATTATACATTTTTATAGGTATTCAAGAAGGTGAGATCCTATCCTGTGTTAAGGATATTGCTGCTGCTGTGCAGCATGCAGTGGCTGTTCATATTATCCAGCGGACATACCGAGCCATGCTGTTCTGCATAAAAAATAGCATATTATCAAAAAATGCAACTTTGGTGAGTAGACTTTTTTTTTTTTATCTTTTTATATTCGACTGGTGCCTTGAACTTCCTCCCTTGACAGGTGAGGAAGGTGTCAGTATGTATTACCTTGTTGAGATACTAGGATTAAAATAATAATCACATAAAGATTTACAGTGAAGTCTTTCATAGTTTGTTTTTAAGCTAGAAAGAGATTTTCTTACCATCTAATCTGACCTTCCATAAAAATATAGGCCACATAATTTGACCTAGTGCTCCCCAACACTTGGCCGCTGTTCTAGCTATAACATGCTTTTAATCAGGAATCTCTTTTATCATAATAAGCTCACTTACCATATTCTTTCCTGATGTGTTTTAATCTTCAAAGATAGGTTTCAGTCTTCAAATGCGGTATTTATTGCTGTCTTCAGAACTTCATCTGATAGCCTTTTTTTTAAATAGGATGTTAGTTGAGTGTGACCCGTCGGTACTTTTTGAGTTAATGCCTTTTTTCTTTTTGAAACTGCTGTCAGGTTGCATCGGGAGGAGTTGCAAGTAATCAGTATATCCGAAAAGGCCTACAGACTTTGGCAGATGCAAATGATTTTGCTTTTCTGTGTCCTCCTCCAAGACTGTGCACTGATAATGGTGTTATGATTGCATGGTAAGAGTTGTTTCTCTTTGCGTGCATTTCTATAATGTTTTTTAAAAGTCGACATCAGAATCAAGAACTTCTGTCTATGGTGACTGCATGACCTACACACATTCAGAGAGTTATGACAGACACTTTTACATAATTGCTTTCTTGCTTAGGAACGGCATTGAAAGGTTACGCAGAGGACTCGGTGTTTTACACAGTACTGATGGCGTCCGCTATGAACCAAAGTAAGTGACTCCGTTCATTCAGTCTGTTTCTTCACTTACTATGATCAATGAACGTGGAAGAGGCATAGACTGAAGAGAGAGGCAGAAGCTGCTGAGGAGTGTCTTTGCAGTGCATATATGCTTTAAAAGTTACCACCACTTCCTTTTCAATGTAGTTGTGCAATACAAGTGATTGTACCTGGCATTTATATTTGTTTTGGCTCAGAAACTTAAATCACCATACATCATAATGGTTCTATGTATTTTCCTATAACCTTTGTGGTATGGGAAAACTGGAGCAAGTTAAGCTGTACTACACTCCCCCTAGCTTCTCAGTCACTGTACACAAAAATCAAAATGCTCCGAGCCAAACTCTGTATTCATCATGAACAATCAATTTTAAAAAAGAATTTGCCATACAACATCTGATAATACTGATTTTTTTAATCTTCTTATGGACTTAAGTGGATCCTAGGCTTAAGGCCAAACAAAGTTCTGATAGTTCAAAAGTACCAGCTGGTCTTAAAATGCTATTTTTTCTCAGGTTTTTCCTCTTTCCAATTTCTGGAAAACAGACTTGGAAGGTCTCAGGACAAAAAAAAATGTTTTATGATTTTCACATGAAAAATACTACTCTTCTTTGAAAATAACTTGCTTTGTATATCTCGGTGAATAAAATACTACGTTTTGTTTGCTGTAGACTATATATTCTTTATCACATGAAGAGATAGATACCTGTGAATCTCTAGTGTGTCTTGCAGTCATCAGTGAGATGTAAAATGAACTATCAACTAAAATCAGAACCTCAATACAACAATGTCCCCAAAAGATGGCTTTGAAATCACAAGTGTGTTTCCCTGAGTTTGGAATAGCTACAAATGCAAACATTTCCTCAACATAAAGATGTTTCTAGGTACAGCTTCAGATGGCACATGGTAACGGTCACACAGTATAGAATGGAATCGTTTGGGTTGGAAAAGACCTTTAAGATCATCAAGTCCAACCATTAACCTAACACTGCCATCCCACCATGTCCCTAAGCACCTCATCTGCCCATCTTTTAAATACCTACAGGGATGGGGACTCAACCACTTCCCTGGGCAGCCCGTTCCAGTGCTTCACAACCCTTTCAGTGAAAAAATTTTTTCTAATGTCCAACCTAAACCTGCCCTGGTGCAACTTGAGGCCATTTCCCCTCGATAGCCTGTTACCAGGGAGAAGAGGCTGACCCCCACCTCACTACACCCTCCTTTCAGGTAGTCGTAGAGGGCAATAAGGTCTCCCCTCAGCCTCCTTTTCTCCAGGCTAAACAACCCCAGTTCCCTCAGCCGCTCCTCATCAGACTTCTGCTCCAGACCCCTCACCAGTTTTGTGGCTCTCCTCTGGACAGGTTATAGCAATGCAACGTCTTTCGTGTAGTGAGGAGCCCAAAATTGAACGCAGTATTGCAGTGCAGGCAACCTGCAAAAATACTGACACACCCATGCTCTTTGTAAAAAGGTCTGTGAATCTGCACAGTGTGATACAGCAATAATGTTATTTTAACAAATACATAATTATTTTCTAGAGCTCCCCTTGGAACTGATATTTCAAAAAGAGTTGAAGAAGATTCCATCAAGGTGCCAAAACTAAAAAAGAAGATACGATGGTTGGCATCCTAAAAAGTAAAGTAAATGCAACTATAAATTGTTCAATAAAAACTGTTTCAATGCTGTTACATTTCCTGATAGTACCTGGCTTACAACTGTTGAAAAATCACCTGTCAGAGAAATAAATGCTATGTGGTATCACCAAAATGAGTCCATGTGCCGTTCCACAAGTATCTAAGAGTTCTAGGTAATTAATAACAAAAAAAAATTAAAAGTGCACTTGCTAATAAAAATTTCATTTGTGTAGATTTATTATCTCCACTGTTTATACTTCATAACTTATAATGTTTATAAATTTATTTTACCATATTATAAATTAACAATACATAATCCATACAAGACTTCTAGTTTATACTATGTGTTAAAAAAAATTCGTAACTTCCATGATTGAAAAGTTACAGAAAATGAATATGAGAGAGTACAGGTTTTCAAGATCTCACTGTGTTAGCTGTGCCAGTACAATTGAATTGCAGCAGTACCTAATTTTCTGCTCCTGGTGTGAGAAGCCTATTCTTGCTTATACAAAATTAAAATTTTGGAGTATAGGTCTAGTGCCTTTTATTTTATTTATTTTTTTTTTATAAACAGCTCAGTAAAGCTAATCACAGTGTAAGTGAGCTGTTAAGATGCAAGTTCTGAGTGTGATGTGACCTTGACTTTTGATAATCATAATACGGTTTTACATTATTATTTATTGCAATGCTGTTTACTGGAATAAATACTTAAAGTATTAAGTACCTCTTTGGTAAGTTTTCTAATTCACAATGCATATATTTAAAATTGCCTCCATTTAAATACAAGCAAGAAATTGGGATTTGTGGGACAGTTACAAACAGGCAAACACATTGCCTGTTTTTTTAAAATTTTGATTTTTGTTGTTTTGTTTTGTTTTTTTAACTCCAGGGCAAGGTGTTACAAATTCACATTTTGTTACATGGCATTTTTGGAGTCTCATTTTCATAGGATTTCAACGACAAGTAATTTATCTTTTGGTAAAGTAATTTGTCTATACCACTAGGTAGTTTATCTTTTTGGTAATGTATCATTTAATAAATTTCACTATCACATTTCATAGGCCCTGTCCAGCAGTATGTTTATACATGTGGCTCACTGATTTCAACACAGATGAAAGACTGGAATTTGTGAAACTTAACAGTGAACAAACCCCTTTTTTCCTCCATATTACACCTTATCTCTCCATTATCCCAGTTTTTAGTGCTGGTCATACCTTCTTTGGGATCAACAAGCCAGTCAAGTCTTGCTGCTCAAAACTCTCCCCCTGCTTCCAAACTTTCTGAACATTGAAGAGGAAGAAATCCCTAAATAGCTGTATTGTTTGATACAATAAATGCTGATAAAAATTGAATATAGAGTTCTCATCAGGGACTCAACCTTATGAATTGGAGTGCCTCTAGTATGTCCCAAACCTTCCAAAACTACTCTTGGCTGGACCAGAGAGCTTGATTCTAACACCACAGAACCTTTCTTGCATGATGCTACTAGTAGTTAACAGATCACTATTACATTTATCTCATCTCAATTAAATGTTTGAGACTTTACACAGCAAATTTTTGTTTAATTAAAAAAAAAAAAAAGACTTAAATGTCTTCCAAAAGAAATGCATGGGAACAATGCTCCAAATAATTATAGTAAAGACTTTTGAAATATTTAAGTGGAGATATCTTGTAACAAAAAATTAGAAATGCTGTCATGACAATTTCCTGGCCTATCTCAGTAAATCAAACAAAACAGATGACACAGTGAGTAGTTATTGATGGCCTTTTGATGAACTGTGATTATAGAGCACACAAGGTCTTGAAAGGTTTGCCTCAAGGCCTCATCTTGTAAATTTTTTTTTATTTGTGGCTGAAAAGTGGAAGTACAAAAGGAAGTGGTGAAATTGCAGCTTATACCATTTTGACAGCAGCTGCTAACACTTCTGAAAACCTACTTATGAATATGATGATCTTTGTTTTAAAAAAAAATAACATAAAATTCAGTAGACTAGTATGCTTAAGCAAATACAACATACCAACTAGGAATAATGAAGTAGATTTGTAAGACTAATGGAATCAATTCTAGTATGAATCGACAATAGAGTGCTGAGAGGCATATATTTAGTCTTTATTATAGGAATAACATACAAGAAATACAGGGCAGGGGTTTTTTACTGCAGTACGAAGCTAACTAAAACAACGAAGGTGATACACTGAGGAACTCAGTCTATTAAAACTGTATTCAGTTCTTCATTGCAGGAAGGATTAAAGTATTTAGCTTAATTTGCAGGAAAGGCTTAAAAAACATTAGGAAAAGCTTTCTGTTTTAAGGAAGGGAAATAATGAAGCATGTTACCTATTGAAACAGATTCCTCAATCACTGCATGTTACGTGTTAAAATAACTGTTAGACTGCTCGGCAAATACTTCATTCTTCACTCAGAACAGGGCTGTAAACTAGGTGACTTCTGGAGATCCCTTGCAGCCCTACACGGCTATAATGTATACAATATCTAAATAAAATGTATACAATATCTACACCTTGTCCTCATTACTTGGTAACCTTCTGGATATTATTAAAACCCACAGAATGTAATAATTTTATACCACTTCAGGAGTCATTTTGGTTTTGAAGTATATTCGGTAACCGTAACAGTCAAACAATTGGTAAGATTTTAAGCCTAAAAATAATTTAATCTTGAAATTCTATCTTCATGGAATATGTTTGAATAAGTTTTAGAGTACTTACTGCAATTGAAAACATTTACTTGAAATTTAATATATCTATAGCAAGATGAGCAGTTTTCTTACATGAAATAATACAACCACTGACTCCTATAGGACATTTTAAAGTTTTACTGTGCTCAAATAAGGGAAAGAAAATCCTCCAACCACAGTGTCTGCTTGTTTACAATTTGAACCTTGGTTTTATACTGCTTTTGTAAGGGTATTTTCAGATGCTTGAATTTAAAGCATCAAAACCCCCAAATTTGTATTCTGATGAACAACGGTTTTCATTTGTTTCCACAGAACTTTCATTATTTCCAGAAAAAGGAACCGTATTATGTTAATGATGTCCCTGCTCTCTGCAGGGGCATTGCGCTAGATGACCTCTAAAGGTCCCTTCCAACCCCAAACGTTCTATGATGCTACAAAATAAATGGTTGCACATTTAGCCAGCAATCCTGTACGTTGCCAGCAACTGTACTATATGTACAGAACTTTAACTAGTATTTGATAGTGTCATTTAATCTGTTAAAAGAAAATCAAATTGGAATCAAAATACATTTTATCAAGCTAAAAAAATCTTTATTCCTCTCAAACCTTCATAGTATACTCAGCAATTTCAGTTAAGTAAACGCCAATCTGAAATCAGAAAGAACTTGTATTATTTTAAAGACTATACTATAGTATCTATATTTCTGTGCACATTCCTTACCTCCTACCATCAAATTTTATCACTGCAATGGGGTAATATTCTCTACCTGGCATATCCATGTCAAACAACTGAGCCTTATAGCCTGACGCATGACAGGAAACCTATGAGGAAACAGTTACTACATCAGCTTTAATTTACATCAATACCTAACTGCTTACATCAATAAAATGACCAATAGAATTGCAGCTTCAGAAGCTTACTAGTCAGCAGGCGTGGAAGCTGAAGTGCAGTTTTCATTTAATTTCATGTTTAAAAGTGCTTTGCCTCTATAGAGATTATTTGCACATCACAGCAAATTAAACCCATATCTAATGAGAAGCATCCCTCAGGGAATAGTTTATACCTTCTCGGGTCAATCTGGTTTGATCATTCTTCAGCCTACTATTTTGCCATGCAGAAATGCCACCTAAAGGCTATGCTTCTTTTAGGGCCATGCTGTCCTTATCGTTAAGGTATCTTGTGCTGGCTTGTACAGCTCATTACTAGCAGCAAATATGCTTACAGCATACTCGCTAGAGAAATAAGCACTGAACTCTCTATTAGCCTGGTCTAAAAGAAGTACTTAGATAACCAGGCAACAATATAGTCCAGGTAAACCTATTAACTTCTGGGGCAAGCATGGTTTTTTCCTTATCTCTGATGTTAATTTAAACCATATACAATATTTTCTCATACTGTATGAGCTGAAAGACATACACTCACGTACATTACAAGACAGCAAATTAGAATCATGATCTTTAATGAAATATCCTTTACTGATGGAGTACCAATGCCAAACTCAGTTCTCCCTGGACATAAAAATACTTATTCTGTGCATATTGAAAATGTTGACATTTGAAGATACAAAAAAATATGTAGGGTTTTTTTTTATTTTTTAGATGTAGCAATATGACAACAGTGTAAAACACTGAAGTTATTTTAGTATTTCACATATACAGTATCATTTGGACATATAAAAAAATCTACAAGATGATATCTAGAAGATACAAAAATATCAATGTCTAATTTGAATTTAAAAAATTAGTAAATTTACAGTTTTCTTACTAGAATATGGCTGAAGACATTTTACTTAAATTTGGGATGTCCATCTTCTTTTTAAACCTCAGTAAAAATGGAATTGAGTTCGTTAACTTGAGGTACTTTCTCTATATATCAGATTGATGAAGCTATTCACCGTATCAAGCCTAAATACATTTTCATGTAGTTCAACTTGTGTAGTGCCAAGTGTCAATTTAAATATCATATTATCAGGGTATTGCATAAAAGACACTTTTTTTCTGTACTGTTCGGATTGTAAGTTGGATCTTTATTCGTATTTTCATCACAGGTTCCCTCAAAATCATGTTCAGTGAGAATATCAATTAAACCTGCAAACCAGGAATGAGTACAAAATTCTAGTCAAATAAAACCTTTTAGAACACTATCATTGCCTGCCATAAAAATGTTTGTACCACCTAAGTGTAAGCATTATTCTTCAGTTTTAAAAATGTATTTGTCAGATGCACTTTGCTGTTGCATATATAACCTGACAGTATTTTTATTAATACTTTGGGAATTACTAGTTATATGTTAGAAGATTCTTTTGTTGCTAAGACCACCTTATATATTATATAGCAAGGCAACTAATTTTAAATCTTAATTATACAGACACAGCAAATAATATAAATAAAACTAAGTAAAATGTTAGGAAAAAATATACACCTGTGTCTTTAGAGATCTAGTTTGAAGAATTCAGAAGCCTGGAGCTCTGTTATTCTTAGAGAGTCCTTCAGAGTAGTGAGGGCTTTTGAAAATCTGACCAATCACTTAAATACCACAGCTCTTTTGGAAATGTGTTAGTTTACAGTATTTCATGTCAGCTTATAATTTTGCATGAGATCCAATGATCCATATTTTTTTGAGTAATAATCCCAGCTTTTAGGAATGCCATGTATAAACTACATGCAACATTAGGTATTTTTTTAACAGGAATGTTTTTCTCCTTGCCTCCTGAACAAAACCTCAAAAAATATTTCCATCTTGGGTTTGGGTTTTCCTATCAGTATCAATGTTTCAGAGCAGCAGAGCTCAAAGAACCTGATACATTTCTCTTTGTGCCCCAAACTTCTGCCATGTAATCAACACTGATCAAAATTTGTCCAATTTTTCTATCAATGTAAGCTGGAAGAAGCTGACAAGAAGTTCTGTGATGATCTGCATCTGAATTAATGGAAGGTTTAAACAGCAAATTCCAACAGCCAATTCCCTCAAAATCTGATGGACTTCGTAATAATACAGGGCATATCTCAATCCATCAGTGCTAGCAAAGTTGCTGTCTGGGTACATTTTTTAGCTGGCCCAGCAGTCCACTGGGAATCTCCACTGAGCACTACATGTCGTCTTTTGAAGCCAGCCAACTAGCGGACACAGTAGTAAGTAATACTTGCTACTTACTTTTGTCAGACTTTGCCAACACGGCATCACCATTTTTCTGTGCTACAAAGTTTGACAAGCAGGTTGCCTCATCAGCTTATTCCGCTCCAGGGAACACTTATCAGGCCTGAGCATTCTTCAAGAATGTTTTCCAGTTTCTAAAATACAATACTAACTAGCAAAGAAAGAGAGAGACTATTATTTAATCAAGAACTATACTAGCATTTGCAAGAAAACAATAAAGCTCTTAAGGACAGGATTAAAAGACAGTAACATTCCTGTAAGTTGCTCTAAAATATTATAGAAAGTGATTTCAATACATATCAAGTATTTTAAAATGTCTCCCCTTCTCCCCCCCCCAATTTGGTCAAGAAACACTATAAATAGTAAGTGTACCATAAATAATAACAACAAATTAATTTATTACGAATAACTGGATAAATGGAAAAGTTTGCCAACACAAATTATATGGTTTCTTTCTACTATCTGAAACTATTTAGAAGCCTTCCAAAATTATTTCTCACATTTCTCTATCAGAGGCCTCTTAGTCTGGAAAAGAAGCTATTTGCCTAGGTATTAAAAGCACAACTTTTTTTTCTTAAAGTCCTAGGTGACATGTAACTTCTAGGAATACTGCAACACTACTACAGAGATAACAAATAATGAACAACAGTCGCACTTCATCAGCCTAATGTTCCTCTTAGTCCAGTCTCCACCTGCTTTAGAGCATGATGCAAGAACTCTTGCAAACATCCCAGGGTGAGATACTAGGGAGTCAATTTTCCTCAGAGTACCAGTAAGAAATCTGCCAATGCTTTGAAGCAGTCTGAAACTTAGGTTTTTGTACTAAGTATTTCTTTACAGACTTGACAAATTATTTTGAAAAATCTACTTACACCCTTAGAGATACTTCGTAGGAATATATCGTTACAGTTTGTATGAAAATGAATTTTTTTCTTCTGGTATGATTTTTCTATTTAACTGGACAAACATAAAAGCTAGAACTGTAAGGTCACACATTGAGTACTAAGCTCCAAACTTACCAAAACCACTGGAAAGCATATATCCAGTTTTTCTTATATTACCTTTGCAATCCTTCTATACACAGAAAAACAAACTAACTCAAGCTTCTCTTCAAAGTAAGTCCATTCGTATTTCTATTTCAACCCTAGGATTGCATCCACATACTCACCCAGAGTACACCCCCCCCTTTTTTTTTCTTGTTTTAAGAGAGACCTTTTGTTTTGTTTTGTTTAAAAGACATGCTTTGCAACTTGAAAAGTAAAAGTAGTAGAGCTAAAGCTAAAAGGAGAGGCAGCAAGCTAGGGCAGCCAACGAGGGACAAAGAACAGCCTGGAGGGAGCCCCCAGCCAACCCAGCCCCGCAGAACTGGCCAAGAACTGGGAGGCTGCACTGGATGGCCCCAAAACACCCAGGGTGGCTGGGGGAGGGGTGTGTGTGTCTGTTTCTCAAGTAACGAAAGGGCAACCATGATGCTTGCAGGGCAGATCTCCAAGAGGTGACAAGGCCGAAGACCCCTCAGCTTATTTTGGCTCTGGCAACCCAGGCCAGCTCCTCGATGTGCCCTCCCTTCCAAAACCATAACCTGAGGCCTCTCCTAAAGCAGAGCTGCGAGACCAGCCCTGTCTACAACAGAGGAAAATCTACTGTACTGAATTCTATGTACGTGACAGATTGGACAGATTCAGTAAGATTTTTGTGACACTGACATTGTTTAGGGAGGGCGGGAAAGTCAACCTCTGGTCATCCTCTCTTCCCCAGAGGCCAGTACTCCCTTCCTCCCCAAAGATGCATTCATAGTAAGTCTCTACTGCAAGTACGCATCTACAGGTATTACTTTGATGATTAATAACAATGTCCAAGTATGTAAAAAAACAGACCAAACATTCTAAGAAAACTCCAAAGTTTTACTGAATTCACATACAGGATAAATGCAACATCTCAAGATGTAGCTTTATAATTCATCTGCTGAACATAACTTCAGTCTGCTGCATGTGTCAGATGCTTTTTCACTGCTGCTCTCTAGTTTTGCAATCCGAGATCCAAACTGTACAGCCCTTTTTGGCAAAATGGTCGAGGCTGTAAGGCCAAACTCGGTGGCTGCAAGGCGCAGAATCAATTTTTCACCAATTCCTCGTGGTAAAGTCAAGTCAGCTTTTTCTAAGATGGGCAGAGAATTGAGGAATGAAACAACATCTTCGTCAAGAAAAGGAAACCTAAAGGAAAGATACACATGGGGAAAGACCCTTTAAAAACTTCACACAAATAGTCTTGGTTTTCCCCTTTACCACATGCAAAGACTTCAGAGTCTGTCTGAGTTCCTAACTACCAATGTCACTGACTTAAATGTCAGTGTCACAGTACTGAGGCAAGTCTCCAAAGCAGTTACACTGTCTTGGAAAAAGAAAACCTAATATAGCACGTTTAAATTCAGAAGCCTGGAAGTTTTCAAAACTTGAGCAAAGAGAAGAGGAAGAACAAGCATTAGAAACGTTGGGTTTATACAAAACAAAAATTTTGAAGAAAATCAGAAAATACAATGGAAGAGCAAGACAAATTTTAAAGTAACAGTTCTCAAGCTAACTTCTAAGTATTTAAAAATACTGTATGAAGCTACAGTAACTTTGAAACAAAAAATATTTACACAACAAATTCTTACACCATTCCAAACTCCAGGCATTCATATCTAATTACAAGCACTATTAACAGCATTGCCTGACCACGACTGCAACTGCTAAACTGAAAATGTGCAACTAAAAACAGATTTGGAAAAACACTGGCACAAAGACCACATGAAAAGACCTTTCATGCACCTCAGTGGCCTCTACTACTGGAAAACATCTATGGAACTTTCTGCAAGTTGGTGGTAGCATGGAGGAAGTAAACACAAATAAAATTATTCTTTAACTATTCTGACTTAACAACCAGGAAATGCAGTGGATATTGATCATGCCTTTATTGCATGGACAGGAATACATGGCTTCTACATTATGTTGTCATTCTCCAAACTCACTCCCCAAATGACCACACCAGAACACTTCAAAGTTGTGCAGAAGACTGTTCCACTTAAAATGATAAATCCGACTTGATTTTGACTATTGCAACATCTGTTGCTGCTTCTTAAAACTTCCAGATGGAAATCATAGAATATTTTGGGTTGGAAGGGACCTTTAGAGGCCATCTAGTCCAACCCCCCCGCAGGAGCAGGGACACCGCTAACTAGATCAGGTTGCTCAGATCCCCATCCAGCCTGGCCTTGAATGTTTCCAGGGATGGGGCCTACACCACCTCTCTGGGCAACCCATTCCAGTGTTTCACTACCCTCATTGTAAAGAATTTCTTCCTTATATCTAGTCTAAACCTACCCTGGTCTAGTTTAAAACCATTATCCCTTGTCCTGTCACAGCTGGCACTACTAAAAAGATTGTCCCCATCTCTCCTATAGGCTCCCTTTAAGTACTGAAAGGCCGCAATCAGGTCTCCTCGCAGCCTTCTCTTCTCCAGGCTGAACAGCCCCAACTCTCCCAGGGCTCCCTCGACCTGCTGGCTACGCTTCTCTTGATGCAGCCCAGGGTACAGTTGGCCACCTGGGCTGCCAGCGCACATTGCCGGCTCATGTCCAGCTTTTCATCCCCCAGCACCCCCAAGTCCCTCTCGTCAGGGCTGCTCTTGATCCTTTCTTCCCCCAGCCTGTATTGATACTGGGGCTTACCCCGACCCAGACGCAGGACCTTTCACTTGGCCTTGTTGAACCTCATGAGGTTCACAGAGACCCCCCTCTCCAGCCTGTCCAGGAAATACAATGTTCATGTTGCTAAATTGCCTTAAGTAACTCTTCCATGGTACTATGGACCACTTTTTAGGAAACAAAATCCTGCCACAATACAGTACACGTTAACAAAACTGCAACAGAACTTAAGAGACAATAAAACACATAGAAGTTTCAACAAAGCTTTCTATTGGAGTGTTAGAAGCAGAATCTAACCAGCAAAACCAGTTTTGCTTCATGTTAAAACAATACCTGGCTTCTTTTCCATGATCACCAATAATTCTGTCATCTCTACCAAGATTTCTAGAAGAAATGCGATCTAACTCCATTTCAAGTTCTTTTTCCAGACCCTCTAAGCCGTATTTTTTGAAGCAAACACGATGTCGAGAATACCCAGCAAGCTGTTCATCTGCTCCAATTCCTGTAAGCACAACCTAAGAAAACAGAATAAATCTTTCTTAATATCTAAGCAAGCTTATAATATGTAACAGATCTTAAATGTTTAACTACATCTTAATGAGAATAACTTTAATAGGCATCTTTTAAATATATTACCTATCATGATGGGATGTGCCTTACACATTTACAGAGCCTGAAACAGTTCCCAGTAAAGTCATTGGAAACTTGGAAGTAGTTTTTTTTATGCAAACTATTGCATTTGTTGGGAATTTTGTTGTTGGGTTTTTTTGGTGTTTTTAAAATCTAGCAATTAGTACAAAGTAATAGAAGCCTCAAAAAGCAAAGGGAGTAGTGAACTGCAATCTCCTGCTTGACAACCCTTTCAGTGAAGAAATTTTTCCTAATGTCCAATCAAACCTCCCCGGGGCAACTTGAAGCCATTTGCTCTTGTCCTATTGCCCATTACTGATATTAATTAATACTTCAGTAATGTTTATCTCTAAATTTGTTAACCTATTCCGTTTGGGTTGAATAGCAGTTACCCACTACTGGAGTTGAAACACTGAAAATGGTAAGATGATTATTGTTATTTTTTTCCTAGTCACGATGTTGCGCATTCAAGCTTAACAAAAAGCACATTATGTGACAAAAGAACTGAATGCAGTTTTTAACTCCGTAGTTACACAAAGATTATCAATACAGAACTATTCTATGTTCTGCCACTGAATTATGAATATTAAAGACCTCTGCTGATTTCTGAAAGAACTGGTTTTAGATTCACAGGTCAAGCATAAGGCAGAAAACAATCAGTACCTTTGCAGGACTTTTATATGGTTTCAGTTCTCCTTGGTTACTAATAAAACCCTCTCCTCTGGAAGCAAACCAAATTGCACAGCCAATGCTGTCATCCAAGACCGTATCCAGTGGATAAATTAAGTGATTAATATATTGTTGTCTCATTTTTTTCAATTCCTCTAGTGTAACATTAATTTCAACAAAGTTCCAGGTTCTTGAAGGGTTAATGGCTTCTAATTCTTTCAGTCCTGCCCTACCAGTGATTCTGTCGGGAACATCAAAGCAATATAAATGAACACCAGTTTTAGCATCAAGATCTTTACAACTTTCCTGAGGACAAAGCAAACCAAGCGGTACTTCCTGGTTGGTATGTTTTTTAGTGGCACCCTTTTGCTTAGCTTTGTCTTTTATCATGAAAGCTACATTGAGAAGATCAATTGGTTCCCCTAAAGGCACATGTTTATCAGCAAGTGCTGCAATAACCATAGAATCAACGCCGCCAGAAAAGAGCACCGCAATGTGTGCTTTCCCATTAGACATGCTTGGAACTTCTCCTGTTTTCTGATCTTCATCTCTAAAGAGAGATAAAACCCGTCTCTTCACCGCTTCATTTAAAACATCAATAAACTGATGGACTAATTTTTTCTTGTGTTCCTCTGCAAGAAATCCTTGAAGGGTTTCTACAGTAACCATATGGATAACGTTGCTAACATTAGTGCCTGGACATTCACCTGAAGCTTCAGAAATTGTTTTATTTAAGGGGATAACTGGTGCTCTGAGACATAGTTTGGATTCATTCATCACGAGAGGTATGTGGTTTGGTACATATTTTGAAACTTGGTCCAGAACATTAACGAATATTTCTTCTACTCCTTTCTCTGTGCAGCTATACTTCCATGGAAACAACGTTAAAGACAAAGATTTAGTCGTTGCACAAGATTTTAGATCAATTTTGAAAATTCCGGATGCTGGGACTTCTTGCCATTGGTTACCTGATTCAGAATAAACACTTACAGATGAGAGACAGAAAGCACCGTCAACCTCATTACTGAATTGCCAAAGCAAACTACGACGACCAAAATAATCTCTGCCAAACCATAAACTGTGTCTAGATGCTTGATAATAAATAAAAGACCACGGACCCCGAAGCGATGAAAAAAGTGACAAAATGTCTGCTTCACTAGTGCATAATGCAAGATGACGAAACATTACTTCAGTGTCATTCTCTAGATCTCCTACATGCACTCCACTGAAAATTTCTCCATTCCAAAGAAAAATATTGTTATTTGCATCTTCCAGAGGCTGAGGAGTCATCAGTCCCCTCAAGTGAAGCACATGGCCAGAAAACAGACACTCATAAGAGAGATCAGATGCAGTTTTTATCAACTGTTGGCTACTGTCTGGTCCTCTTCTTCTAAGATGGCAGAGTATGTCTTCATTAAAGAAATCACGTATAGCATGCTGGCTACACAAGGTAACAATGCAACAAATACCACACATTGTGACTCTGAATTCAGATGGACTACTTCTTGGTTTTAGTCTTTTCTGAATTGTCCATCTCCTGATGTGCCTTCTTTAATTCATCTAATGTATCTGTGTAAGAGAAAAATACATGAATAACCAGTTTTATAAACTGATAGATTTATGAGTGATTTTACGAGTAGATAGGTTTAAGAGTTTAACTAAGAAATTAGTAACTCCAGCCACTTGTTCAACTAAAGAGATAAACACAAAACACTAAGTAACAAAAGTGCTATAGTATTGATGTAACACAAACATAGCTCACTGTAGCTTACTCCTCTTTAATTATACAAAGTTTATGGAGTTCCCCCCGCCAAAGAAAGCCACACTACAAGTATAAGAATGAGGGGAATGACCAACTATTGCCTATATAATCAGCATCATTTACACATTTGTAATAAAAAAGTGAACTGACAATTAAAATGTCAACACTATTAACTCAAATCAAAGAAACTGGAAGTAGCAATTGTTCATTCCATAAAATAAATTTTTGCTTCCAAATTTATATATTTCTAACATTTTTTCAATCATCAACTCTCTTTGTCATCCATTCTCCTATCTTCATAGTCCCACAGATCCATTCTTTCAACTACCTGAAGACTTCTAGCTTAGCCCCCAGTTTAACTTGTCTTTATTTTCTTCCTAGTCATCCCATGTAACTTTGAGACTTTTTTCTTTAAGGGACAAAGTGCTATACAGCTTCCCAAAGAGCACTGAGGATAGCAACTCCTGTGTGGGGCAGATGTTCTGGCTCTTCCTACATCTGCAGCACTTGATTTTTTTATCACATCCAAAAATCAAGTGGGAACACTTTCATATTTATCCAATCCAGAAAAACAAGAACGTGTCTCAAATCTACTTTGCATCTGACATACAGCTAGGAGTTTTTAATTTTAATATACCTTTGAAATCAGTCACAGCTACAAATACAGCTTTTAAGTAGTTAACTATTTATTTGATCAATTTTTACACTGCAAACTTACTTTTGCATTCAGATAGAGTTTCTGTCCGGTCTGCAAGGAAGAATATGTTGCTATTGGGTTGCTGCCTATAAACCTTCTGTAACACAAAACCAATACGGCTTTAAGTCAAAGCAACAAACTCTGGCAACCACACTGCAGCATAAGCTGATGCAGGTCCACCAAGATATCCCTTTCACTTTTATGCCAGAAGGATAAGTTCTGCCCTAACAACACCAGCATTCTAATGTCATGCCACCAAAACCATTTCATGATCAACCCATGACTATTCTGCATTTCTCTTTTCCTTGTACATGAGGGATCACGTTCTATTTTAAAACACATACACATGAAAAGTAAGAATACTTGACAAAGTCTTCTGATCAACTCAAACATCTTAATGAAATCACTCAGATAAAACATAAAAAGGCAAAAAAGCCCAACAATGTACTGTGTTACACTGCACAAGTGTACATAATCAAATCATTTGGAGGACAAATTATTCCGAGAACGGACAACCATATCTGTACTAAAACCTGTATTAAACCAAATGAAAGACAGTGTGCTCTGATTTTGTTTCCTCTCGTCTTTCTGCTTATTTCTCTGAAATAGTCAAAAGCAAATTTGTAAATACTTACCCGGTTCTTCTTCAAATTAGAAAGCTCATCAACTACAACCTTCTGCTCTTTAATCTGAAAGGCAAAAGATACACTCCAATTTAATTATTAAAAATAAACCACTGTATTATAAGCCTTGTGGTGAACATGCTTACTGATATTTTAAGATGGCTACATGCATATATAGTTGCTGTTCTCTGAATGGACCATTAAAGACGAAGTGGAAGTAGATATAAAAATGAAATACTAAATAACTGCTCTAGAAACAGATTATCTTACAGGGATTGATATTTCTTCTACCCTCAAAAGCAATCACTACTGGGAAGCCAGAGTACCTCTAGCTATTTATAATCAGAGATCACATTTTTTCGCCCAGAAGAAAATATGCAAACTGCTAATAAAACATCAAATAACTTGAGAAAACAAAATTTAGCATAGTATCTGCAAAACACTTTATAATCATAGGTATTCTCCAGATTCAAAATTAAACCAATAAAACAACAAACTCCTAAAACTGTATTAAGAACCATAGAAGCCTTTCTATTGCCCTGGAGTTTTGCACAAACTTCCTTAGTGGGATTTACCACTCTGTTCAACTGCACTGGCAGAGGTGGCAGGCATTCCCATTTTCTTTTACAGTGACAGCTGTCAATGCTAAAGAGCGATCAGAAGGACCATCATAAACGCCAACAAACAAAACAAAATCTGGTCAGCAAGCACTTAATGCTTTTTGTTAGAAACAAACAATGTGGTTTTCTCTGATCTTCCATTGCATCAGTGCAACAGTAGAAAGCTGCCCCAGAGCTAGGTTAGCCAAACTAAACATGGCATATAGAGTCAACTTTTCTAGCAGCCACCTTACATTTACAATTCCAACAGACAAAACAGCAGTGTCATCTTTTGCTACAGACTAAACCAGCCACTCAAGCATAACGGAAATTACAACCTGCAATACTGTTATGCCCTAGCTTTATAACTTCCCAGATGATCAAAAATACCAGACTTTACGCAAGTATGGACATAAAGAAATGAATTAATTTTCTGAGGGAGAGCAGTTCCACAGGACTTGACAGATTTCATACTAAGCAAAGCTATCAGCACCGTGGAAAACAAGAGCAGATTTATGAGTGCCAGCCTCTGTGACTGAAATCCCTTGAGCAGATAGAGCTGAAGTAGATGACGGCACACCGAGAAACCTCACTGTCACTCACCTGACATTTCACCTCAACTTGGAGCAGTAAGAACCAAAAAACCAATCTGACACGAGAGCTAACAGCGGCGACGCCGACGTGAACTCGCTACGCGACAGCCGCCTCCTCCGCGCCCTACAACCGACACCCCGCACGCCAGGAGCCCCAGCTTACTGACAGGCCTCGCCCTCCTCTTCCTCACGCTGACCGCGCGCGAGGTTACAGGCTTCGCGGGGCCGCCGTCCCCCAGCCCGCGGCAGCACGGCCCTGGACGTGCCTCAGCCCGCCCCACGCAGCTGAGAGCAC